AAAAAAAAAAAAAAAAAAAAAAGAAAAAAAAGGAAACACGTATAAAATCCGAAGATATTGTTCTGAATGTTATAATACAAATACAAAAACATTCGAGGATAAAACAGCCAGAAAATTAATCAAATAGGTCGTCATTTTTTCTAATACGTGTAAACCAAATCATATCTTTGTTTGGTGTTTTAATAAATAATTCTATTAAAATTATATCATTTATTTTTTAAATGAATAGGTATAAACAATAAATAACATTAATTTATTTTATGCAATATGCTTATATATTGTATTAATAAAAATTTCTTAAAGTTTTCGGAAGAAAAATTGAAGAAATCATCTGATTGGGAACTTTTGCATGCTACTGTATGTCTATTTTATGAAGATCTTATCGCAGGCCGATTTTCTCTAAGAAATGGACAAATGACGATCCTTGAACATTCATCAACGAGAATATTTCATAGACATCAAAGTGATTCAAAAACTCTAAGATTATGGCAATCCTATTACAGCAAATCAGTTTCGATATTCCGTTAAAATAGAAAGAATGAAATTTACTTGAAAGCGAATGAATTCTTTTCGAAAAATTGTTTAAATATTTTACTTCTTTGGACTCATTTTTTCTGATTTTGATCAGGATTAAAAAATTCCTTGTTTATAAATGGACTATGTCCATAATTTTTCTCGTGATATCGTATATCACTTAACAAATTGCATCGTTTCTCAGAGCGATTCTCAATCTTCGATGCATTTGATAATGATCACATGAAGTAATTAATATATTCTAAATCAAGAATTGTTCTTCTTTAATTAAAATTATAATACTGTTCCGTTTAGAGTTATGCGAAGTTTAATTATTGATCCAATTAATTGAAAATATCAAGCACACATTGAAAATTGTCATTTTGCATGAGAAATATTAAAAAGATTCAACGACAATATTAACATGGATCGGAACGAGTCCATATATTAAGAAAATATTTATTGTTAATAGCTCGTTCAAAATTTACTAGAACATTTTTTGGATAGATGATAGATATGGACATTATTTAAATAAATTA